GTGCCGCCAGTCAGTGCCCAGCAGTGCCGACAGTCAGTGCTGACTATCAGTACCGCCTATCCGTGCCACCTCATAAGTGCTGCCTATCAGTGCTGCCTATCAGTGCCCATCAGTGCCACCTATCAGTGCCCATCAGTGCAGCCTCATTTAACACACATAAGTGAAGTAGAAAAATTACCTGTTTGCAAAATTGTATAATAGAAACAAAGAAACTTTTTCTTTCAACTTTTTGCTATTTTTTTGTTTATAGTGCAAAAAGTAAAACACCCAGCAGTGAGTAAATACCACCAAATGCAAGTTCTATTTGTGATAAAAAAATGATAACAATTTCATATGGGTACAATGTTGCATGACCACGTAATTGTCATTCAAAGTGCAACAGCACTGAAAGCTGAAAATTGGCCTGGTAAGGAAGGCGGTATAAGTGCCCGGTAGGCAAGTGGTTAAAGACCAAACTTGAATTATAATCAATAAGGAATTATCACCAATAATAGGAATCTGTCATATATTTCCATTTCCAGCTTCCAGGGGCATCAACCAGGTAAGATTTATGCATAGAAACATTGGTCCAAGCTGGGCCATTTTAACTACACATGTATAAAGGATCCATACCAGGAATTCATGTTTAAAGACCAAACGTGAATTATAAACATACTGATCAATAAGGAATTATCACCAATAATAGGAATCTGTCATATATACCTATAATTAGATGAAAAATAATGGATTCAAGACATTGTGAGCTATGACTAATCTAGAAAAGTCACTGGAGATATGGAATCTAATCAAACAAATGGCATATCTTGTTCAGATGTTAATTTTCAAGCTTAAAACCATGTTTTCAAAAATTAATTGACATTTAATTAAATGCAGACCGTGCCTTTGCTCTCTTCAAGGGAGGCAGACATTTCTCCCGGAAATGTTTAATTAAGATGAGCCAGCGCTGTCACACTACAGCATCTAGAAGTGTGACTGAGTCACAGATTTGACCTTCATCATGCAGTTATGATATGGGAAAAGCATAGGATTGCTGGCTGCATAACACCGAATTCCATGGACCCATACTATGGGCACCTGTACAAAGTGGACTCACAGACTCAAGGGGGGGTTTACCCCTTTCATGCCCAGGGCATTTTTTTCTATTCAGCACCTTTTTGGGTGGTATTTAATCACCACTGGATTTTTTATTACAAAATAAAAAAAAGACTGAACACTTTGGAAAAAATATATTTTCTACTTATTTTGTTAGAAAACAAATCCAAGAAAAAAAAAAATCAAGATTCTTCATAAATGTAGGCCAAAATGTATTCTGTTATATGTCTTTGGTAAAAAAAAATCCAAATAAGTGTATGTTAATTGGTTTGCTTGAAAGTTATAGTGCCTACAAACTATGGTACTGTATATATGCTAGAATTTACACAGTTATGACCAGTGTTCATTTTGTCGTAAACTTTCATGAAATTACATCAATATTTTAGTCTTTTGACTAAAATGCCGTTTTAGTTTTAGTCGTGTTTTAGTCATCTGAATTGCTTTAGTTGTATTTTAGTCAACTAAAATCTCCAGTACATTTTAGTTGACTAAAATCTCCTACATTTTAGTTGACTAAAATCTAATGGGTGTAGTTAAATTGTAATGCATTATTTAAGCATTTCTCTAGAATTGCCAAACTCATTATATACTCCTGGATTAAAAATCTAATAACATGTTAATATTTATGGTATTAAGGTTTTGAACATGAACTGCAGACACAAATTTAGCCATTGTGATATATAACATCTTTATAAATATAACCAAGTTTCATAAACAAACAAAAATATTGCTTTTTGACAAACAGAGGTGCAACTTTACAATATAAAAAAGCCTAAAAAACTGTAAACTTTGTTGGCTGTGATGCCATTGCATATATTACTTGAATATATTACCAACATTACATATTAAGAAAAAAATAATAAAAGCTGTTTTCCTATTTTTTGTTCTTTCAGCAGCTTAGTAGATGCCCCCCTACTTATTTTTATGTGGAAGTGCAGTGTTAATTGTGACATAAAATTCTGATTTAGGCTTAGTCATAGTCTTTTGACTAAAATGCTATTTTAGTTTTAATCATACTTTAGCCATCTGAATTGTTTTAGTTTTAGTCATATTTCAGTTGACTAAAATAGTGTTAATTTAGTCAGCGAAAAAATTTTGGTCGAGAGAAATTAACACTGTCTATGAAGCTATATTGGTAATAGCAGTGATTAGCGACTCTGATGGTGTTGCAGGCAATCTGGCACTAGCTGATGCTAGCTGGGAGGTACACTAACTGACTAATTGACTCTGACATTAGTAGTGACACTAATACAGTGATCAGTGCTAATAATGTACACTGTCACTGTACTGACAATGGCTGGGAAGGGGTTAACATCTAGGGTCAATCAAAGGGTTAACTGTGTGCTTGACACAGCATGGGCTGGCACAGGGCGCACACGCGAGCGTCCCAAACCTGGAAGAAGGCCCATCATGTACATGTACGTGATTGTGCCTGCACCTGCCACATGCTCACAGTATATTTACTGTAAGTGGTCAGCAGGTGGTTAATAAACATATCTATGAACTGTGAGATGTTTTTGTTCTAGTGTAATTCTGTACCACAATTTTTAAAAAACGTTTTTAAAATGTTGCTCACAGCGCAGTAGCGTGAATAATAACTCATACACATATTTTTTTTAATCTTATTTATTTCTTTATTTTATTTATTTCTTCTTTTTAGATCTTTCTAGATCATGAAGCTTAGCAATTGCAGCTACTCCCTTCGTATTCATAGACCTTTAGTATTCATCACAAATGGCATTCTTTCCCAGTGTAAATTCAATACTGAGATGCAAAGATTTTATTCCATTACATTTACACTCCTGATATTATTGAAATGCATTATTCTTTTTTTGTAAATTTCTGTTTATTAATTATTTGTAAAACATACAAAAAACATAATAGACAATAGCTGCTAGTGTAAGGCTTGAATTGGTCACACAGGACCAGTCACTGAATGATTGACCAGCAAAGGAAAGAAATCCAAAAACCATATAGAAAAAAAAACAGTTGCACATTCTATTCTGCCCCCCCAACCCCCCCCCCCCCCCCCACCACCACCACCACCACCATTGCAGGCATGCCCATCCGGACTAGACATCAACATGCAGGTGTCCGGAAACCTCAAAGGGTCTCTGCAGTGGGTATTTTACCAATGTTTTCCCCAGAACAAATCAGGAACTACAAAACTACTATGCAATATACAGTAGTGTCACACCAGCATACCACCAGGTCTAATAAAAATCACAGGGAAACGTACTAAGCTGCATTTGTGGACACTCCCAACAGCGACCACTAATAACATGCAGGAGTGTGGCCCTGTTAGGGATAGCGTACGTTTCTAAGCATCTTCTAACATCTAAGCACTAGTAGACTAGCTATCTAGCCAGGGTTGCCAAACGTTATAAATTTTTTTGGGACACCCTCTCCTTAGGTAAGTAGCTTTATAATATGGCATGGATTTACTGATCATCCCTTTCCAGAATGACAGGGAAGGCACTGGCTGTTTCTTCCAATGGAGAATAATAGCTTTGCGAGCATAAAAAACAAGTAAACCAAGTAGCATGCACTGTGCCCTAGTAGGAGCTTCATTATCTGAATCTGTGATGTCCCTATCTAGCCACACCCTCTCCTAAGGATGGCAGGGGAACACTCGACAATAGGGAAGTCAGCCCTGCCTCGTCGTACTGGGGAATGGGGCATAGAGCTCCGAGTAGTATTCCATAAATACAGTCATAATATCCAAGGGATTCATGACTAGATCTCCTTAAAGTGTCCTAATGCAGAAGATACTAACTTGAATGCATTGATGAGCGACCAACATGGCCAGCAATTTTCCATTCTTATCCCCTTTCTCAAAAAGGGATTCACCCTATGAAGGAGAGAGGTATGCGCTAGGCCAGTGTCGTGTAGGGACAACTTAGGTTTCAACTCAAGTAAGGCAGTATAAGTATTTTAATTTGGAGTGGCTGCATAATCCTCCGCACATTTCCACTCCTCATCTTTTCATTCAATTCCTTGTGTAAGGAATTCAAATGTTTTCTAGTAGGTTTAATGGCAGATAAATATGCCCCTCTCATCACCGCTTTAAATGCGTCCAAAACTATTGGGACCTCTACTGAACAGGGGTTAGTTTGCCAAAAGGCAGCCATTGGGGTTTCAACCCGTCTCTCCACCTGCTCAGTTTGCAACCATCTCGGAAACAACCTCCATGCATTCCCGCCAGCTCCAGCTACTATCGCCAGAGTTAGCATGAGTGGATCATGATCTGACAGTCCCCCTGCAAAATGGGATGTTTCATGAACCAAGTTTAAAAAAGGGGCAGTGGTCAAGGCCAGGTCTATTCTCGATTTTATGGGCTCTTGAGAAGCAGAAGAAACTTTTCAAGGTAGGATGTTTCCACCGCCAAATTTTTGTAACTTGAGCTGTGGAGGCCCATGAAAGGAGATTAGCAAAACCCGGACTAGCCAGATTTGAAGTGTCCAACACACTGTCAAGGATGGTATTAAAATCCCCAGCCAGGACGAGTGGCAAATGCATGAAGGGCACCAAAACCACTAAAAGATTATACAATAGTTGCTGCTGAAATGGTGGTGGTATATATGCAGCATACATACAATAACCAGTTTAGTCTGGAACATATCCAGAACCAGGGCCACATATCGCCCCCTCACCGGTCAGAGATCGCCTGTTGGATTGAGCCAGGGACCGCCTTACTAAAAATAATGAATACTTCCTGTGCTTAGGAGGAGTAGGTGGCATGAAAAGTCCTCTGGATCCACAGCCAATGAAAAGTAAGTAAGGATCCAGATGAGTCTCCTGCAGGAGCACCACATGCAGCCTGACCACTTTTACCACCTTCCGCCCGCCCTATAGTACAAAGACTGGCGCAAGGTGGTTCTCTCGTTCTGATAGGACGTCATATGATGTCCTACCATTCTCACTGCACATGCGTGGCTCAGGGAGTGCGCAGCGAAGATGTCGGCTCGGTCATGTGATCAGCTGCGTCCAATCACAGCTGATCACGTGTAAACATGGAAATGCCGGTTATCGGCATTTCTCTCCTCTCGAGCTATTACGCTGACAGCTCGAGAGGAGAGCCGGTAATCGGCTTTCCACGGAGAGGACATGTACACTGATCATCAGGGCACTGATGATCAGTGTGCCCTGATGATCAGTGTGGCCCCAGAAGTGCCACCTGTCAGTGCCCATCAGTGCCACGTGCCAGTGCCCATCAGTGCCACATCAATGCCACATATCAGTGCATACCAGTGCACATCAATGCCACATATCAGTGCCCATCTGGGCTGCCTTTCTATGTCACCCATCAGTGCCAGTCAGTGCCACCTATCAATGCCAATCAGTGCTGCCAATCAGTGCCGCCTATCTGTGCCAGTCAGTGATGCCTAACAGTGCCAGTCAGTGCTGCTTAACAGTGCCAGTCAATGCCACCTATCAGTGCCAGTCAGTGCTGCCTATCAGTGCTGCCTATCAGTGCCATATATCACTTTCATGTATCAGTGCTGCCTTTCACTGCCCATCAGTGATGCCTGTCAATGCCCATCAGTGCAACCTACCAGTGCCTCCTGATCAGTGCCACCTATCAGTGTCCATCAGTGCAACCTATCAGTGCCCATCACTGCAGCCTCATTAGCGCACATCAGTGAAGTCGAAAAATCACTTATTTACAAAATTGTATAACAAAAACTAAGAAAAAAAAATTTTTTTTTCAAAATTTTCAGTGGTTTTTGGTTTGTTTAAGAAAAAATAAAAAACCCAGAGTTGATTAAATACCACCAAAATAAAGCTCTATCTGTCTCAAAAAAATGCAAAAAAATTTCATATGGGTACAATGTTGCATGACCGCGCAATTGTCATTTAAAGTGTGACAGCGCTGAAAGCTGGAAATTGGCCTGGGCAGGAAGGGGGTATAAGTGCCCTGTAGGCTAGTGGTTAAATATGAAAAAACTGCAACTCTTTTAATCTTGTCATTTAGACCCTGAACATTCCACTATTGGAATGGCTAGTGTCATTCCACATTGACACTATATTAAATGAGATAGCCATGATATACACCAGTTGAAAACATATATAAACCCCTGTATCCCAAATTGCACGCGGCCGGACAACTGTTTGCAAAGGGGAAACACGTTTACCCAATATGAGACCAAGTAGAGTCCTCTTGCAAATGAAAGCCTGGAATCCCTCCAAGTGAAAAAAAGAGAACAAACAGAAAAAGAAGTTCACCGCTAATGATGTGTGCTTGTATTCCAAGGAGTTCTGCTTGCCCGGATAAAGAGCCATAGGAAGTCACAAGTCGCCATCCATATCCAGAGATGTTCAGATGAATGAGTGTCAAAGGAAACCAGTAACTGTATGGCAACAACTGAAATGTTGAGAATCAGTAAGCCATAATGAAACGAGCAATAAAGGTAAGAGAATCAGAGGGGAGGTGCAGCAACAAGCAGGATCAAATAGTGTCCAGCTAGTCGTTGGCCTCGATGGGTTATCGAAGAACTTCATGAAACTTCAGTACTCTATCCAGAGCTTGTTCAGATAAAGCATAATATACAGTAGGCCTTTGTCCCATAGGCGTTCAGTAGAGGAACAGCGTTTTCTTTGCATTTCAGCAGAGAAATCAGGGAATAGCATTATCTTAGCATGTGCATAGCACAACTCAGGTTGCTTGCAAGCCTCCGCCAGTATCCGCCATGAAAGCTCAAAAAAAGCACCTGAGAGTCAGTCACCAGTTGGTACATGTTGGGCCCTCTCCACCACATAGGTGGGTGAGATATGACAGCTGTATCCTCTATCTCAGAGAGATGCTCCTGTCTTCCTGCCTCTGATCTTGTCCAGGTCATGACAGATCAGAGTGCATTTGGTTGGCAGATAATCAATCCTCAACATGAGGGCCATTTTACAGCTGTCTATGGCCTCCAGAATAGGCCTGGTAATGGACTCAGAGGGGGGTTCTCCCTCCAGCGTAGGTGCTGCATCTGAGGGAGCTGCAGGGTGCAAAGCAGGAACCGCAGTGCCGCCCAGAGTGATGGCTCGAGCCTCCATGCGTGCCACCGATTTACCCAGAGAAGGACAGGAGTACACCAGACCAGGCAAGATGGCGGAGGTGGCACACGTGACCCGGACACACGATGGTCTCTGGGCCATGGAGTCTGAACTGCTGGAGCTTTCTTTTTAGACGACACGACTGATCTCTCCACCAAGCAGACGTCAAAAGGGCGCTGAGGAAAGGCATAGTATCAGCGATGGAGCCAGATTCTTGCAGGATGGCACGGAGCACGAAGCGTCCTTCCTCTCTCACATCCTAGCCATGCCCCCTAAATTCATTATTTATGTTTATTTCTTAAAGGCTTGTTCACAGAAACAGCCACACATTATGCTCTATGGCCACGTGAAACATTGTTAAAATGCATCTTACTGTTTGCATTTTAAAAAATTTTATTCAAAGTTACAAAAGAACACCTCATTTAAAGTACATCTATTCCTACTCCTATTAATCTGAACAATCTGAAAGCTTGTAAACTTATTCTGTAAAGATCTCCACACATTTACTTCCTTGATTTCTGTGACACACATTTACTATGCCCTGTTGATAGGAATTGCTGTGTGACAAATTTCACAGAGGTTGCCTTCTGAACTACAGGGGTGATGACAGGAAGAGTTTCAGGAGTCGGAGTCAGTACAGGAATCATTGTCTGCAGGCAGTAAGATACCATGGGATATATAGTCCTTAGAAATTGAAAGCAAACAGTAGAGAAGAAGCTGCAAAGCAAGCAAGGAATCCAGAACGTTGTGGATAGAGATGGCCAACAGACAGGCAGAACTCACAACATGAAGAGAGATTTTCAAGTACGCTTACAGAATATTGGATTGTCTATAAGATCTATTGTTTGTATCGTTATTACAATGTGATGATATAAAATGAAAAAGTATTCTATGACCATAGATTTCCTTTAACTTTATGCACTGCGGTTGGCTGATATGGAGTGGCGTTCTTTGTGCTGTGTAAAAATGCAGACATGCTGTAATTTTAGGCAACACACACCACTGCACATATATTGTGTGAACATGGCACATAATCAACAATTTGTATTTTTCAAATAAATCAATAACTAAAGTAACAGCAGATAGCAGTGTTTGCACTATAAACAGACAGTTATTAAATGAGAGATGTGCCAGCATGACTGAGGTTCCAACCATTTATCTAGTCCATTACAATGATCGGTGTTGGTTCTGTCTTGTTTATTTCCAAGCAAGCTAATGCTGTTGTGCAACGTTTTGTCTTTGCAGTTTAAAGGATTAGTCCACCATAAACAGGTATTTCGGATGTGATTATAAGATATGTTTCCCATTGACTTTTTATCATTCTCTGAAACTCTAGGCTTAAAATGGATGTAAAATTCACTATACTCACCTCTTTCCAGCGATGTGAAGTCCACAGGCTCCATCACCACCACTGATTCTTCATCTGTTCTTCTTCCATGTTCGGTATGTTTGATCACTTTGATTGGCTAGCCCAGGATCATGCCAAGTCATGCTGAGATTTCATACTAAGTTACACATAGTGCGCCTTTTCTGCAATAAAAAGTATTCCTGTTAGCAATTTTTTTACAGTTAAAGTGGAACTTCACTCTCTCAATCAACATTGACTATTTCTAATCCTTATGCTGCTAGTATTAGTAAATAGATAGGAAAGTATATCATATTTACTTATTTTAACCTTTTTTGTTTGCATTCCTTCATTTACTTCTTGGTTTCCATGCCTGGGCAAATGATGTCATACAGCTCAGGAGTCTTTAAGAGGGAAGGGAGTGTTCTCGGCTCAGCCAATGCCTGAGCTAAGGACAGATAGATTCCAGGAAGTAACTGCTACATGAATCATCTGCCCTTACTCAAGATGGCCACTGCCAGAAATGCCAGGAGGTGTTTTTCCAAATGATTTCTTAGCAATAAATCATGGAGACTTGTGTAGAGATGTGCTGGTTGCTTTAAATCTTAAACAACAGTTGCAAAGCATTTTTTTTCTTTTCCCTCTTTGAGAGTGACAGACAGGGAAAGCAGGACTGTGCTCTGATTGGTGGTTGCTACAGCTGAGAAGGATCCACCCATAGCAGCACTGTTTCAGCTGAACTTATGATTGGCTGTGGAGGAAAGGAGAGAGGAAAAAGGAAGAAGAAGCACGTGTGGGGAAGGAGACATTTTGAGGGGACCCATGGAGCAAGGGCTCCTGGTGTAAAGTCACAGAGTCTCACTCTCTGTGCTGCTAGAGCCCATGGGCTGGGCTGGGAGTGTGTAGCAGAGGAATTGTTGCAGGAGGACAGTGTGCAAATCAAGGATTGTCCTGCCTGACACTCAGGATTACAGCCACTCAAGTGCATGTGTCTCTCAGAGTTTGGAGCTGCTGAAAGAGAGGATTTCTACTAATGTCTAATGCTATCTAGAGTACAATCCAGAAACAGTGAGTACTCTGTGATGAAAGGGGATTTTGATATTGCTGCATTTGCTGTTCATCTCTGGAGAATGGTCATGAGAAAGCCTGCTCTCTGATTCTCAGAGTGACACAGATCTTGGAAAGCCCAATCTGTTTAGAATTAGCTATTCCTGCTGCTGATTGATGAGAGAACTCTGTCTCTGGATATTACTGGTGATTGTCTCCTCAAAACTTGTGCTGTTGCTGAAGAGTGTGTTTTAGTTCCAAATCCCCACAGAAGCTTGCTGCTCTGAATATACTGAGCAAGTGTCAGTATATCAGGATTTCACCTGTATGGTAAAGATTTTGTTGAAGTGTTGTTTTTTTCTATTGCAATGTTCACTGGAAAATTATGCTTAAAGGAGACTGTGCTATCCTGCTACCGCTGGATTACAAATACTCTCCCATGCAGAGAGTGAGTGCTCTTCCATTGATTAAAGGGCCCCAATGTTGAGAGACTTTAAGTTTCATCCCACTGGCCAGTGGTTAGGTAGGACATTTCTGCTCTAGATAGTACTGCTATGGCAAATGTCAATAAGCTGCTAAATCTCATTAACAGTTATTGTTTCATGTGGCAATGCCACTCTCATATGCCACCCTAGTCAGTGTGATACTAGTCAGTTTTTGGAGTCTTTGGCGAGTGCATTGTGACTTCTTACTAACTGTGTTATGCAAAGTGGTATCTGTGTTTTATGTACATTACCTGTGTTAAATCAGCTAGTTCTTTTTCAGGGTTTATCTTCTTCAATAAAACCCATAAAAAATATTCTCAGAGTGTCGGAGTGTTCTGGGTATAATCGGAGGTGTCACCAGATTCAGGTGGGAGCTGAACCTATATATCGAGCCAAGTTCCACCCAAGGGTGTGGATGGAAGAGTTTGTTTTGAATATTAAAAATGAATTATATGGCATTTTTGGTTTGTAGTATCCAGATGCAGTGCAGTTCCACTTTAAGTTCCATTTTTAAGGTAAACCATGCCATTCCCTTTGCTATCCTATCTAAAGCTGGACATATAGGTGAAACTCGAAAAATTAGAATATCGTGCAAAAGTTAATTTATTTCAGTAATGCAACTTAAAAGGTGAAACTAATATATGAGATAGACTCATTACATGCAAAGCAAGATAGTTCAAGCTGTGATTTGTCATAATTGTGACCCCAAATCCACAATCTCAGAAAATTAGAATATTACATGCAATCAATAAAACAAGGATTGTACATAGAACAATATCGGACCTCTGAAAAGTATAAGCATGCATATGTACTCAGTACTTGGTTTGGGCC